TCATTGACAGTAAAGTGTAATGCTGGGGAAGTTAAAGCTTCTTTCGCCAATTTATCTACAAATTCATTATTGAAGTCGCCAGCGTGCGCTTGTACTTTGTGCAGAGATACCAAGAGCGAACATTTGTTTATAACTTGAAAAATCCCATTCCACAGATACACATTAACGATCTTTAAGAACGGACGTTGTGATGGTGAAATTGAAGAGAGCAGCTTGTATTTGTTGAATTGCGAAATCACAGTGCTAGAGTCCGTAAAAATTTTTATTCGACAGTTAGGTGGTGCTACAAGGATGGCTGTGAAAATAGCAGCAAGTTCTGCAGTTGAGGATGATGGAAAAGATGCAGTGAATGCAGATGAATAGGACAAAAAAGGTGCAAAGGGAGCCGTTTGAAGCCATGCTATACCCATTCGCAGTGCAGGGTTGCCAAGATTAATTAAAGAACCATCTGTGTAATATTCTAAAAATGTGTGAGAGCTAAAATCAGATTGAAGTGTTAGTAAAGTGGTAACGTGAGATAGGGGAATAAACTGATCAATAAAAGACGGAGGAGTAGGATTAATAAAGGGTGATGCTGGAATGCGAAGTTGAGGAGTATTACGTTGATTAATGAATGATAAAGCAAGATCATTAATGAGGGAAAGAGACCAAGAGCACCATGGGAAGGTTTCAGCACTATTATTGCGAGAGGTAGGAATAAAGAAACAGAGGTCTCGAGGGACAGTGAAAAAACAACGGTGTTCACTATCTTTAGTTTGAGGTGGAATCTTGGTAATTGGATTATGATAAATGCATCTAGTGCAAGGTGATAATACGGTTCTTTGGTTGCGTCCACTCGTTGGATTAATATGCATGATATTTGCAAGATTCAGACTTGTTCTTAGAAGCTTGCCTATAAAGGGTTTGTTATCACCCAGATTCCATCCAATGACATATGGATTAGTCCGCGCTTCTTTTTTTGGCGGAGAAAAGTCGAAATGATAGTTTTTCACATGTGGTGTTTTATATCTTAATTCATTAGAGTTTGCGTTAATAGTCAGAAGTTTTTGTAGCAAGCCAAACCACGCCGGTTCACTTGCGACTCTGGGCGAATTCTGAAAAACCGATAGATCATAGAAATTTAGCATAGAACGCCCATCCGAAAGGGAAAGTTGTTCCGCAAACATAAGTGAGTGCCTTTTAAGATGAGTTGCTAATTTTCTGTAATCATGTGGAATTAACTGTCTTATTGGAGTCGAACCTCCTCTGATGATATGGTGGTCATTATCCGGAATTTGTAA